TATGATTTCGTAGCTTAACTCAAGAGCGGGGTAGTACGCATCCTCTGGCAAAACTAGGGGATCACACCGATTAATAGAGGCCTTCGGAACATCATCAACGTAAACAAGATCCAATACCTTTCCAAACTTATTTGGACATATATTTATTTGTTTAAGGCAAAGTTCAGCCATTTCCTCCAGAAATACATTGTAACTATCAATGATCAATCAGATGAAACTGGTACAACATCGGTGTCAATGATGTTCCATGAAATGTGTGGCAGATTTAAATCGCCCAAAACAATCATAGAATCGGATGCCGTAAGCATTGCATTTACGGTCTCAAGTAAAGAAACTAGCTGCATATATACTGATACGGAAGAATTAGGAGGGATGTAGCAAAGAGCTAAATAAATATAAATCTTTCCAGCCTGTACACGTATACATTTAAATTCGGTATATTCAATGACAGGAACACTAACTTCCTCGGATGGTATCGATGAATGCACCACAAAATGAACACCACCGCCGATTCTGCCCTCGCGGAATTAAAAATATGAGGTTTGAGCCATGTTTCAGTCAAGGAAATAATATTATAATTGCAGTTAAAACCTTTTAAATATAAGTCAGTTAATTTGGTATTCAAGCCTCTAACGTTTTGATAGTAAATACTTAAATTAGACTCGCGAGTTAGTTTTTTGAATCCGAATTAAGATTAGAAATTTTAGCTACGTTGTTATTACTTTTATTAGGTTTATACTCAAACTCGCGAACAAACGCCCCGGTCGGCCAAAATGAGCTATTTAGTAGTGAATCAAAATCTTCGGAAGCTACATCAATTTTAAAATATGAAATATCGCGATCGTATGTAAAATTAAATATACGAATAAATACATCTTTAGTTCTAATTTGAGTCGATATGTATGACTTTATATCATCCGAAGAAGTATCTTTTGCAAATCTAGAGACAAAGATTGATCTTGTCGGAGGAATTACAACCAACTTTTTGGTAATGATGTCTGATGTGCGGGGCTCCGAATTATTCGGAGGAACTAAGTTAGACAGTGCAGCTTGAGATGTTGACGGCAACACTGTTAAATCAACGGTTTGACTATTTTTAGGTGTAGACCTAGTTGATATGGCTTTAGATAGCGGAGGCTCCAATGCCTGAGGGCATGGAGAAGATAGATTAATAAGTTCCAAGGACTGGGATGGACGATTTTTCTGACTAGATTCAGTGGCTGTCTTTCTAGGTGGACTAATAACACGCTTACCTTTACTTTCTCGGCTATCCTCAGAGTGTGGAGGGTTGTCGAGACATGTGAAAGACCTAAACATTTGTTCGTAATGCTTAAATTTCTCAACATTTCTGGACTGCCCAAAGAATTTAAATAAATCAACTTCGTTTGATCCACATTTTTGACAAGACCAACGAAGACCTTTTCCCTCGTTAATAGCGTCTAACACCCTACCGCTCAAACCAGCACATTTTATATGGGCAATCCCATCGCAGAGCCAGCATGACACATAGGAGTCGCTTTTAACGTGGCAATTGGTGTAAATACACGACATGTTTAAAATTATATTTAATTTTTAGGTTTTAGAAGCAAAAAAGCAAAACAGTTTTGAAAACGATGTATCAAACAGGGAACCAATCTGCTGGTAAATATCAGTTGGAAAGCTATGTAGCGAACAGTTTTAAATACACTGTATATTTGACACCTAATAAACATAACGCAAACAGCTGTGACAAAACTGAAACAGTAGAAATGACAAAAAGAGCAAAATCAATGTGCACAAACAAAAACAATTGTACAACAACAATATATTATATATAACAAAATACTCGGCACATGCAATTAAGAATATCAAGTTAAATTAATCAAATTTACAGGAAATTTTGATATTTTACTTATCTTTAAATTGTGCACCAGAAGTTTATTAACACTTTTTTTAATTTCTTTACTTTATTACGCGTAAACAGCTTTATAAAACACAAAATTTAAGCAGATCACAAAAAACACAGCTTCACAGTTTTGACGTTTGCGTATATTCTTTTATGAATGATCTTTAGAAAGATCTTCAGCGTGTGACTCATAAGGCTAATTAATCTAAAGTCCTTGCATTGCTTGGCGTTATTTTTCTTTAAGATAACCACAAAAGTCGATTTTAACCATGACTTTGGGAACTCTCTCGTTCCATATACGTGATTGAACACAGTTAGTAATATACTTATTCTATTGTCGTCAATTAATTTCAATATATCCGCTGGTATTTCGTCACATCCTGCTCCATATTTTGTTTTGGACATTTTAATAGCGTATTATATTTCTGATGTAGCTGATGATGCTGAGCAAAGGGTCCTCTGTTAGATTGTTTATTTCAAAACTTTTTTCTCTTGAGTCGTCCTTAAATAATTCATTAACTTATTTTATCCATATATCCTGTTTTTTACTTTTGTCTACTACTATTGTGTTGTTGGCGTCATATAATCTGTTTGTTCCAGATTGCCTTTTTATATTGCATGTTTCCTTAAGTTTCCTATGTAAGTTGAAGCTGTCATGTAGCTGTTCTAGGCGTTCAATATCTTCACATTGCTTTTTTATCCACTGGTTTCGTGCTGCTCTTATTTTCTTTATTGCTTTGTTCAGTCGTTTGTATTCATCTATTTTTATGTTGCGGTATTTTCTCCTTTCGTCCATCAGATTCAATATATCATCATTTATCCATTTTTCTTTAGCTCTATTTATTTTTGTTCCCAATGTTTTGAATGTTAGTGTTCTTATGCCATCAGCAGCTCTATCCCAGCATTCTACTGGATTTTCATCTGCATTATAAGTTGTCAGAAGCTCATTAATTTTTTGCTGGAGGTCAGTTTTAGTATTCTCATTTTCGAGTTCTTTTACATTAATGCACCCTTTAGTCTCTTTTCTTTTATGAGCTGCCATTCGAGCTCTTATTGTTGCCATTAGCAGGTTATGATCCGATGGAACGTCTGCTCGTGGAAGTGTCTTTTCTCTTAAAGGTCGCCCACATAGAACTTTCGCGTTGGCTT